ATTTAGGGGGAACTGTCACTACTGCAAAAAGCCGGGACACATGAAGCGAGACTGCCCACAGCTTAAGGAGCGGCAGCAGGGAAACGGAAACCGCCAGTAGATAGCGGGTTGCTAGCTGGTGTGGAGGTTCCCGTACCCACCACGTCTACCAACGTAGAGGAGACGGCTTTGCAGCAGTCATCTACGGAGAACGAGGTAGACACTGTTGATTGTCCAGTCGTGCTTCTAGGGAAGCTTCGCGGAGTTCCTATTCAGATTCTCGTAGATAGCGGAGCTAGCCACTCGTTCGTCTCTTCATCGTTAGTTTCTCGTCTCCATCTCGAAGCAGATTCAGCAGTCAGCTTCAAGGACGCTCGCATGGTAGATGGGACGCCACTTCACATAGGACCGATCATCCGCAAGTTGCGCGTAGTGCTAGGACCGATCACAGTCAGGCGTGATTTCGACTCTACGACGCTGGACGGATACGATTTTATCTTCGGGAGAGATTGGCTACGGACGATTAGTACTCAGTTCGATTGGGCTCAGGGAAGCTGCAGCGTCAAGGTAGACGGGGAGTTCCGGGAGCTGCCACAGTGGAGCGATAGGGCCACATCATCCACAGCTATCATTAATGCTGTTCGTGTGCGACAGTTAGTGAAGCGTGCGGCACGGATCTTCGCGGTTTTTCTTGAGGAGGTGGAAGCTGAGGAGGGGAAAGGAGGGAGTGTAGCAGTTAGTGAGAAGGCGACTCTTCCTTCTGAGGTGAGTGCACTGTTAGCAGAGTTCGCAGACGTCTTCCCCGACGAGTTGCCCCCAGGGTTGCCTCCCAGCCGAGCAGTAGACCATCGAATAGAATTGGAGCCGGGGAGCAGGCCAATAGCGAAGCCGCAGTGGAGGTTGAGTCCAGCGGAGACAGAGGAGATGACGCAGCAAGTTAGGCACTTTCTCGCACAGGGTTTCATACAACCATCTAGATCGCCTTGGGCCGCACCGATACTTTTCGCACCCAAGAAAGACGGAGGGTTACGGATGTGCATAGATTACCGCGCACTGAACGCCGCCACCGTCAAGAATAGATTCCCGGTGCCGAGAGTAGATGATCTTCTCGATGCAGTGCAGGGCGCTAGAGTCTTCTCAAAGATCGACCTTCGTTCGGGTTAGCACCAGATTCGAGTAGTTCCAGAGGACCAGCACAAGACGGCGTTTCGTACAAAGCAGGGGTTGTACGAGTTTAGGGTTCTACCGTTCGGATTGACCAACGCCCCAGCGACGTTTCAGACGCTCATGAACACAGTCCTCTCCGAGTTCCTAGGGTCGTTCGTTGTCGTTTACCTAGACGACATCCTAGTGTTCTCTAAGACGAAAGATGAGCACGTGCAGCACTTGCAGAAGGTCTTCGAGGTCTTACGGAGGGAGCAGTTATACGCTAAGCAGTCGAAGTGCGAGTTCTTCCTTCCAGAGGTCGAGTTCCTAGGACACGTCGTATCCGCTAGTGGCATTAGGACTGACCCGAAGAAGATCGCAGCAGTACAGGATTGGGTAGCACCGACCTCAGTCAAGGAGTTGCAGAGCTTCCTCGATTTCGCGAACTACTACCGTCGTTTCGTTCAGGGTTACGCATCGATCGCTAGTCCACTCACCGACCTACTTCGGAAGGGCGTAGAGTACGTTTGGGGTCCAGCGCAGCAGCAGGCGTTCGAGCAGATGAAGCTGTCGCTCACGTCCTCACCGACACTGTCGTACCCTGATCCCACTCGCCCATACGTTGTAGTGACCGACGCTTCCGATCAGGCCATAGGAGCAGTGCTTCTTCAGGACCAGGGACGCGGGTTGCAGCCGATCGCGTACGAGTCGCGTAAGCTTAGGGGAGCGGAGTTGAACTATCCCACACACGACAAGGAGGCGCTCGCGATCATCCATGCGTATAAGGTGTGGAGGTGCTACCTAGAGAGGGCAGATAGTGTTATACGCACGGACCACTGTTCGCTTCGTTTCCTCAAATCGCAGCCGCAGCTGAGTCGTCGCCAGGCTAGGTGGATGGAGTTCATGGAAGGGAGCTTTCACTACAGGATAGAGTACAAGCCAGGCGTGCGTAACCCAGCAGATCCGCTCACTCGCCCTAGTTGTCAGCTCGTCAGTCTCACAGTCACTGCTGGCCACCCACTTCTCACAGCACTCTTCGAGCACGGTTACACAGTAGATCCCGACTTCACACCGCAGCCGCCCGCAGGAGCAGAGGTGCAGGGTAGTGTCTACATACGGAAGGGTACCACACGGATTTGGGTTCCAGCCTACCGCCCTCTTCGACAGCTCCTTCTCTCAGAGGCGCACGACGTAGTTAGTGCAGGGCACTTCGGAGCAGATAAGACGGCTAAGACGCTTAGTCGCACGTACTACTGGCCCGGGCTTGCAGCAGACGTAGAGGATTACATTCGCTCGTGCGACACGTGTCAGCGTACGAAGTCCTCTCGCCAGCGCAAAGCAGGACTCTTGCAGCCGATTCCACCGCCCGACCGCCCTTGGTAGGTAGTTACCATGGACTTCATCATGGCTTTACCGCGCACAGTTAAGGGTCACGACGCCATCTTCGTAGTAGTGGATAAGTTTTCTCGAGCAGCGCATTTCATCCCCACGCACGGCAAGGTCACAGCAGAGGAAGCCGCGACGCTGTTCGTAGATAACGTAGTACGACTGCACGGGGTTCCAGATTCCATCATCTCAGACCGCGACCCTCGTTTCACTTCGAAGTTCTGGAAGCAGCTTTTCGCACTGTTTGGGACTCGCTTAGCCATGTCGTCTGCGTACCACCCAGAGACAGACGGACAGACCGAGCGTGTGAACCAGACCTTGGAGCAAAACCTTCGCAGCATCACGATGCACGACGCAGCCGCATGGGACAAGAAGCTGAGCATGGCGGAGTTCGCCTACAACAACACGCACCACTCCGCCACAGGCATGTCACCGTTCTTTGCACTTTACGGTCAGCACCCCAATGTCCCCACTCGTGTCGATCTCACACCCACAGTCCCTCGTGCGGACAACTTCCACCAGCATCTCACCTTCATTCATGATCACATGAGGAAGCACCTTGAGCTCGCAAATGCACGCATGGCACGCACCACCAACCGCAGTCGTCGTGAGGTGTCGTTCGCAGTCGGCGACCGTGTTCTCTTGGATAGCCGCAACCTCCGACTGCCACAGGACAGCAAGCTTCGTCCACGTTTCATTGGTCCATTCGTCATTGAGCGCGCACTAGGTCCAGTCGCATACCGCCTTCGCCTTCCCGCACATTTCCGCATGCACCCGTCATTCCACGTGTCTCTCCTTCGCCCATACACCGATCCCAATGCCACCTTCTCGGGCCGTGATCGCACTCCACTGCCGGTAGCTGTTGACACCGACGAGCCCGACTACCAGATCCAGCGCATCCTCAGGCACCGTCGCCGTCTCCAAGGGGGTGTCACTTTCATCGACTTCTTGGTTCGTTGGCGTGGTTACGACGCAGCAGACGACAGCTGGGTTCCTTCGTCCTCGCTGTCTCCTGACAACGCTTGCCTCCAAGCGTACCTTCAGTCTGCAGGCGCCGCGGACGTCGCCTCCTTGGGCGGGGGGTAGTGTTAGAGGGGTGTTTACTGTTCATTCCGAACAGTACATTCCTAGTCACCATTATCCTTATCTTCTCAAATTCTCTAGTGCCACGTGGCACTCTACTTTTCTTGCACTCCAATTCTTGGTCCCACATTCCACTTTCCAACCTTGTTTCTTGCATGCTATATAAACCTTGCTTGTACTTGCCATTATCAATCAATTCTCATTCAACTCTTCTTCAATTACTCAGTAACTTCTTCGCCTATTTCGCCAATAGTTCTTTCGCCAAAGTCTTCCGCCGCGTTTCATCCTCGACTTAGTCGACCCCGCTAATTCTTTAGCGGACTTAGGCCGTCGGGCCTAACAGAAGGAATAGAAGAGTGTAGTTTATCGATCGAGCCCTGCGAGGCACTGGTTTGTGATGGATCGAAGCATCCCTACCCACTATGGATCGCGGTGCGCGCACCTGGATGCACGGGACAGGTTGGCAGCCGTCGCAAACGGGTCCGTGCGTGACGAACGACGTCCAACATGAGACGGTTGCAGCCTCGTACTGGACAACACCCAGCTTGTGCGATGTTTGCGACGAGACGAAAATCGCGATCCGTCAGACTCGGAAGGCTTCAGCGATTTGGGCGTGGTGTTGGTTTCGAGCCGCCGTGAATCTTGGCTTCATTCTGGCTGGGGAAAAAGTCCCTCCCTAGCCTCAAATGTTGTGCCAGACTGATTGGACAGAAGCTGACTGGTAATCTTTCAGGGCACCTTTTTCTAGAAGAAATAGTATACTCTCACAACCTTTGTTTGGACAGCTAAGACACAACTTCGCAGTGGACAGAGGTACCAGAAGCAAAACAGATGTACCAAGTCGTGAAACAAGAGAAGCCTCCAGTTTAGCCTCTCAAGGAGAGTTTGTGTGAGTGTATTTTTAGTAATCGATCGAAGGGTAATTACTCAAGTAAAACAGACCCTCTGCTGCATTTCCCCCGACTTGATTAGTTGCGGGTGGCCTACGTGAAGTTCAGCCCCACACCACACGCACAGCTTGCTCATTATCCCCTTCCCATCCCACCCAGCTGCCAGTAGAAACTGCGTGGTGTGTGGAGTGGAAACTAAGTAGGCACCCATTCAGTTTAGTTGCCAGAATTGACGCTGATTTTGGCGGCGCGTTAGCTAGCACGCCTGCATTGGCCGGATGCACCGTCAGATTAGAGCTTCCAAGCCTCCGGCAATTAGATACTTCTCTTTGCTCGTTCGTTTCATCAAAAGGCGCGAGGCAACTGAGACCGCTTTGTGCCATTAGACACCAAACTCCCTTTCACATAAGGTAATTTAGTCCACAAACCGCCTCCGCGTTATCCGCGCAGTGGTAAAATAGCAGTGGCATCTCCGGAGAGCCTTCATTTCTAGCTTAAGCTCCCTTTCACACTACAATGTTTAATCAGTTCCGCCCTGGCTCAGGCGGGGGCGGGAGACCTGGGGGCGGGGGGACGGCGCCGACGGTACAATCGGGTGGAAGAAGCGCGGGTGCCGCCAGTGCGGGGATGAGCGACATGTTTGCGAGCCGGCAGGGCGCAGCAGCATCGGCGGAACCCCGGGATAGCGGAAGGCACGGTGATCCGCGCGCGAAGCAGCGCGGAGGGGGGATCGGCGCGTTTCCGCTAGTTGCGCTTGTTGGTGCTGTCGGCTCTGGCGTCGCGGTACGTGCCGGCTATACTACCCGTCGAAACTACTTCGGTGCCTCTTCTTCTCTCTCTTTCGATCTCTTTTTCCCACTCTGTCTCTCTCTCTATCTGTCTCTCCGTCGCGCTCTCTCTCACTCTCCTCCGTTCCAGTCCATGTTCTCTGCACGTGTTTGTGTAATAGAGGATACGCATTGCTGAGCGAATGGCTCCCTGCGTTACTCCTTGTATCGCATGCTTGAGTACATGCGAGCGCCGCCGCGATTAGGGCGCCTCCGCCGCCGCCGCTGCGTGCCGTGTCGCGTGTTGCTTTAACCGCGCTTAACCATATTGCACCCACCTTCTCCTGCAAACTATAGTCGTGCTGTGAGATGAAACGACGTGTCCCACCATAACCACGCCCTTCGTGTCGTCTCAACTATCTGTTCCGCGTGTCATCTCCCCCGCTTTTTACAGGCGCTCGTGATGCATCTCCGCGGCGCGGAACAGAAGCGCGCCGAGCTGGAGCGCCACGTCAGCATGCTCCAGAAACAGCTGGCGAAACAGGTGAGAAGAACGAAACGAACGCGCCAGCCGAGCAAGGTGAGGTCCGAAGCGCTCCGATAAAGCGCTCCGATAATGCCCGCTTATAGAGCGCGCCGATAACATATCCTTCCACCGCACCGGTCTCAACATCTCTCCCCACCATCTAAGCTAATTAACATGCTGGAATCTCGCCCGCTTAAACACCCCAAGGCCTCAAACACCTCCCCCGTTTTACGCCATACTGCCCGCCGCGACCCGTCCGACGGTGACGGCCTCAGCGGTGCTGGCTGTTTTCAGAGCGGTGGAGCGAGGTGGAACGAGTGGAACGAGGTACAGCGAGGTGCGAACGAAGAGAAAGAAATGGAACGAAGTGGAGAGAGGTAGAGTTCCGTGAATACCAGCCGAGTGTAGTGCGCGTGAAATACGGACGGGAGGAGGGTGAAGAGGGGTTCTTACGCCTCTGCTTCGCTTCACACCACTCCACACGCACGTACACGCACTCGCGTACGTGCGCGCCGCGCACTGCACTGCAGCGAACCGGGGTGACTATTGAGTCAGCGCACTCAAATGTCACCCGGCTTTGTGAGCCAGCGTGAAGTTCGTTCACTCGCGGCGCCTGCGCCACGCCTCGCGATGTAATTAATTTGCTGTATTCACACGCGCCAGTCATCCCTCTCTCCTCCCACCTTCCTTCCCCCCTCCGCAACCTCCCTCTCCCCTTCCCCCTCCCCTTCCCCCTCCCCTTCCCCCTCCCCTTCCGCCTCCCCTTCCCCCTCCCCTTCCCCCTCCCCTTCCCCCTCCCCTTCCCCCTCCCCTTCCCCCTCGCCCTCCCCCTCCCGCTCTCAAACCACGTGGTGCGACAGGGTCGCCGGTCACACAAAGCGTCGGCGGATACCGACGCGGAGGACGCGCAACCCGCTTCTCCTTCCGCGGACGGCGCTGGTGCTTATAGCGAAGCGGCGGCTGCGGCGGCTGCGGCTAATAACGAGGCGGCGCGCGCGGAGCTGATGGGCGCGGTGCAGGCGCAGGCGGAGGCGGTGGCGCGGCTGGACGCGGCGATGGGCGCGCTGCAAGAGGAGGTGGCGGAAGGGCGCAACGCGTCGCTGCTGCTGCTGCTGGAGGCGGAAGAGGTGCGCGCATGGGGGGGAAAGAGTGGAACGGGGGGGAAGGGGGACGGAGGACGGGGGGGAAGGAAGGGGGACGGAGGACGGGGAAAGGGGGAAGGGGCGGGGGAGAGGAGGAGGGGGGGTTTGGGGGGCGTAGAGGGGAAGTGGAAAGAGGGCGGGTTAAGCACGGGAGAAGGAGAAGGGCAGCGGGTGTGTGGAGGGAGAGCGAGGGGTTAGAGTGATTGGAAGCGTGGAGGATTTTTCGTTTTCTCCTACTCTTTTCAGCCCCCCCCTATCGCCTCTTGCCCATTCCCCACCCCGCCTCCCTATCTCATCCTCGCTTTCTGTTACCTCTCTCACCCGAGCCTTTCACTCCTTGCCTCGCTACCCTCTCAACCCCCCTTCTCTACCTCCATCCTCCATTTTCAAAGAATTGCTTTCCCCCCACACTCCCCCCGCTTTTCACCTCTCCCTCTCTCCGGCTCTCTTGCTGCTCCCTGTTGCCAACGCTTCCGCCGTTCCCCACTTTCTTCCTCCTTCTTGCCTCTTCCCCCTGTTTCTTCTTGCCTCTTCCCCCTGTTTCTTCTTGCCTCTTCCCCCTGTTTCTTCTTCCCTCTCCCGGCCCCCCACGGTTCCCTCCCGTTTCTCCCTCACCCCCCCCTCCTCACCCCCTCCGCAGAAGTACCAGAAGGCGAGCGGGGACGCGGAGGGCATGGCGGAGGCGCAGCGCGCGCTGAGGGGCGCGGTGGAGGGCGTGCAGGGGGAGGTGCGCGTGCTGGGCGCGCGGCAGGGGGAGGTGGCTGCGCTCACAGAGCAGGTCAAGGTGAGATGCTGGTGATTGTGATGGGAGTACTGCTGCTGCTGCTGCTGCTGCTGCTGCTGCTGCTGCTGCTGCTGCTGCTGCTTCTCCTTGGTTAACATTCAATGTCTTGCTCTCCCATCATCCCCATCCCACCCGTCTCCCCCTCTCTTCTCCCCCGCCCCTCTCTTCTCCCCCGCCCCTCTCTTCTCCCCCGCCCCTCTCTTCTCCCCCGCCCCTCTCTTCTCCCCCGTCCCTCTCATCCGACTCCTACCAACCTCTCCTTCCTCATCCTCTCATCTCCCCCCTCTCTTCCCCTCCTGCTCTCCCCCTTCTCCCACCCCCCAGTCCCTCCAAGCGCTAGTAGTCTCGCTACAGCAGCAGCGGGCAGAGGGCGACGGTATTCCCAAGGCATCAGCAGCAGCAGCCAATGGGGACGTGCACGCGGTTCCCGGGGTGGGAGGGGCATGGCAGGTGCAGCTACAGCAGCACGTGCAGGAGCTGAGGCAATACGTGGACAGCCGCTGCGGCGATGCTGTCTCTGCTGCTAATGTCTCTCTCAAGGTATGTCGTCCACAAGTCCCGGGGGGAAGGGGGGAGATGGCAGGAGCAGCTACAGCAGCACGTGCAGGAGCAATACGTGGACAGCCGCTGCGGCGATGCTGTCTCTGCTGCTAATGTCTCTCTCAAGGTATGTCGTCCACAAGTCCCGGGGGGAAGGGGGGAGATGGCAGGAGCAGCTACAGCAGCACGTGCAGGAGCTGAGGCTGTACGTGGACAGCTGGTGTGGCGATACTGTTGCTGCTGCCAACGTCTCTCTCAAGGTATGCGCGATTGCTATCTGCGCGCTTCTGGTTTCGTTAAACCCTAGAATATGGGTCAATATAGGTCACTCGAGGTCAATCAGGGTCAATAAGGGTGATTAAGAGTCAAACTCCATTCCTAGAGCCAAGGTCCAGAGCCTTGAGTCAACTCGACTCCAGCACCCTTGGTCCGTGAGTGAACACGAGAACCTTTCAATGCCAAAGGCATCCTTGGTTGTGTTGCAACAAGTATCCTTATCCCCCCTACTCTTGGTTTGTGCCGACTCAAACGTCACCTTCCCTCTTCCCCTCAGCCCAACCCTACCCAACCCTACTTAACTACACTACACCCGGGGCTGCAGCCCTACTTGCACTCTCTTCTCTCTCGTCGTCCCGATTTCTCTTCTTACTCCTGCTCCGTTCATCGCTCGGGCTTCCTCTGTCCTTACCTTCCTCTGTCCTTACCTTCCTCTGTCCTTACCTTCCTCTGTCCTTACCTTCCTCTGTCCTTACCTTCCTCTGTCCTTACCTTCCTCTGTCCTTACCTTCCTCTGTCCTTACCTTCCTCTGTCCTTACCTTCCTCTGTCCTTACCTTCCTCTGTCCTTACCTTCCTCTGTCCTTACCTTCCTCTGTCCTTACCTTCCTCTGTCCTTACCTTCCTCTGTCCTTACCTTCCTCTGTCCTTACGTTCCTCATCCCGTTCACTCGCTCCCTTGTTGCCTTGTTCATCTCCTCCTCACCAGGCACTGGAGCAGCAACTTCTAGAGACGCAGCAGCAGCAGCTGGCGGCGGCAGAGGTGGCAGCAGCAGTGTCAAGCACACAGGAGGAGGCGAGAAAAGCGAGGGAGATGGTAGAAGCACTGCAAGACGAGGTTGTGCTGCTCGCTGCTTCTGGTGGTAGTGGGGGTGGTGGTGGTGGCGGTGGTGGTGGGAGTGAGGAAAAGGAGAAGGAGAGGGATGAGACCGAAGGGAAGCGGGAGGTCCGGCTGGCAGCTGCTGAAGCTGCGGTAGCCTCGGTGGCGGAGCTCCGAACCAAGCTGGATGCGTTGGAAACCGCCTTGGGAGCTTCTTTAGAGGCGAAGATAAAGAAGACTGTATCTGAGACAGTGGAATCCTCTCAGAAAGCCAGCAATGAGAGCAATATGATGACTCAAGAGAGAGTGTCTAGCCTCGAATCCAGTCTAGAAGAACTTCAGGTGACTGTTGAGTCGACTCATAAGTCCACTCAGAGAGCCAGCAATGAGAGCGATATGAAGACTCAAGAGAGAGTGTCTAGCCTTGAATCGAGCATGGAAGAGCTTCAAGTGAACCTTGGAGATGTGGAGGGTAGCTTGGGAAAAGTTCAGATCCGCGTCGGGCACCTGGTGGAGAAGTTTTCGCCGCTGGATGAGGACATCGGGCAGCTGAAGGAGCTGGTGGGCAGGTTGAAGAGTGAGGTGGAGGAAGCGAATGGGAAGATTGCTGCTGTGGAAGGAAAGGCGGGGGCGGCTGCCGCTGCGGCTGCGGCTGCTGCTGATAATGCTGCTGCTGCTTCCGCTGCTGCCGCTGCTGCTGCCGCTGCGGCGGCTGCTTCTCCTGCTGCTGCAAGTGCTGCTGGTGGTGGTGGCGAGTCAGTGATAGTAGCAGCAGCAGCATATGACCATGCTGTGGCAAGAAAGATGACGGTGAGTGAGAGAGTTGGAGAGGAGGAGGAGGAGGTGAGGGAGGAGGAGAAGGTGGTAGTAGAAGATGTGACAGCTGGGGCTGTGGTAAAGGGACAGGTGGGAGGACTAGAGACCGGCACTGCAGTAACAGCAGCAGCAGCAGCCGCAGCTGCTGCTGCTGCAGCAGAAGCCACGTCATCATCGTCGTCGTCTGCAGCTGCTGCTGCTGGCGCCGCTACTGCTGCAGCAGATTCTGCTGCCGCTGCTGCAGCGGCGGCGGCAGCGGCAGAAGCCGCGGTGGCAGCAGCAGCAGCTGCAGCGGAGAGTGCTGCTGAGAGGAAGCTAGCAGCAGTCCGGGAGGAGTGGACGAGCTCTCTGGTGACTTCTATTTCTGCTGATGTGTCTGCAGCTAAGGAAGCAGCGGCAAGGCTCGAAGACAGGCTGAACGAGAGGTTCGGAACGGTGGATGTGAGGTTTGGAACGGTGAACGAGAGGCTCGAAACGGTGAATAAGAGGTTTGGAACGATGGACGAGAGGTTCGGCGAGGTGGAGGAACGGGTGGCGGAAACCGAGGCTAGAGCCGTGGCTCGGGATGGCACTGTGTGCTCTGTGGAGGCCAAGTTAGTGGCATTGCAAGATGATGTGGAGGGGAGGGGTGAGGCTGTGAGTGAGGTGAGGAAACTGGTAGAAGAGGAGAGGGAAGAGAGGCGTGTGGAAGTGAGGGAGTTGAGGGAGGTAGTGGAGGGAGAGAGGGAGAAGGTTGGGGAGAGTATGAAGGAGCTTCGGGATCAGGTGACTGCGGTGGAAACTCTTGCGGCTGCCCAGAAAGTGGAGCTCGGGCAGCAGAAAGAAAAGGTTTGGGAGCAGGGGGAGGAGATTGAGAGGATTGGGAAGCAGATGGAGGAGAGTGTGAAGAAGCAGCAGGAGGAGCGAGAGGAGGAGAGAGAGAAAGAGAGGGCAGCAACGGCTCTTGCTGTGGATGAGTGCAAGGAGCAGGTTAAGGGAGTCAAATCCATGGTCAAACACCTCTCTGAGTCTGTCGAAGAGGTTCGGAACGACATGCGCCCGATTTCCGACGCTGTGGTCGAGGTCCGGGTGACCATGGCCGAGGCTCGGAACCTGCAGCAGGAGGCGGAAGAGGCTGTGGGGAGGCTGCGGAGCAAAGTAGAGGGGGTGCAAGATTCTGTGTCGGAGGTGAAAAAGGAAGTGGAGGAAAATAAGTCGGAATTGGTTCAGGTGAAGCACAGTCTGCACGAGTGCAGGGAGGAGGTGGTGGAGATCCGAGGCACGCTCGCGGACGTTCGGAAGCAAGGCGAGGAGGCTCGGGAAGCACATGAGGGGCTGCAGGAGGAGGTTCGGGAAGCGAAAACAGGGCTTCGGGCGAGTGTTGGTGCGTTGGAGACAGGCTTGGAGGAGGTTCGGCAGACGGTGACTTTGGCTCGGGAGGATATCTCTACTTTCCAGGAAAGTGCTGATTGCACGGACAATGAGGTTGCTTCAATCAAGGAGCAGGTTCGGTCGATTCAAGACGACGTGGGTCTGGTTCGGAAGGACGCTGTTCAGGTTCGGGTGGATGTGGACTCGCTTCGAATGGAGCTAGGTTCGGTGGAACGCAGCCTTGACTCCACAGCACAGAAGGCCGCAGCTTCGGAAGAGGAGATCCAGGAGGTTCGGAAAGGCTTGCTGTCGACAGTCCACACGGAGGTGGACAAGGTTCGGGAAAGCGTGGAAGAGGTCCGGGAGGAGGTGAAGGAGGTTCGGGTGGATATGGTCCGGGCAGAGGAGAAGGCGGCAGCAACGCTGCGGGATGCTGAAGCATCGGCACGTAAAGCAGTGGTGGCTCTTCAAGGGGAATTTAAAGCCGAAGTAGCTGGCGTGCGTAAGGAGGTAACAGTGGTCCGGGAAGAGGCGGAGAATCTAAGTCATAGAGCCGATATGACAGATTCCCTTACGTCCTCTCTTACAGACAGCCTTGCACAGGCCCAGACCGACATTTCGGAGGTTCGGAAGGAGGTTGGTGCTGCCCGAACCGAAGCTGGCGAGGCTCGAAAGGAGCTGGAGGCGAGTCTCCGTACCACAGCGGAAGGCTTGGAGGAGAAGATTGAGGAGGCTCGGCAGCAGATAGGGCTGAAGGCAGCAGCGGTGCAAGCAGAGGTGAAAGGAGTGCAGAGCGACTTGCAGGAGAGGGTGGGTGAGATCAAATCGGTGCTCAAGGAAGGGGAGGAGGCGCAGTCTCTAAGGGTGGTTGCTTTAGAGAAGAAGCTGTCAGCTGTGGTGGCTGGAGGGGAGGAGGCGGTGAGTGCAGTAGCAGCGCGACTGAACCAAGTGGCAGAGGAGGTGGCAGACGTGGCGAACCGGGGCGAGCAGCACGCAGCAGATGCGGCGGCAGCGATCGAGCGCACAGAGAGAGAGCTCGCAGCTGCTGTGGCATCGTCGTCAGCGGCAGCAGCGGCGGAACGAGAGGGGATTGTGGAGCGAGTGAACGGGCTAGACGTATCCGTGCGAGGGCTGGAAGAGAAGGCGGAGGAGGGCAGGCAGCGCGCTGATGCCGCCGACGCAGCGATCAAAGCGGTGCAAGCAGAAGTGGCGGCAGACAGGCAGAAGGCGGAGGAGCGAGCAGCGGAGGAGGAGCTCCGGAAATGGACGGACGCAGAGAAGACGCAGGCGCTGCAGGGCGATGTGTCTGCGCTGCAGCAGCGGCAGGGCGAGCAGGAGCGCGAGCTGAAGCGGCAGGAGGAGGAGCGAGTGGCCGCGGCGCAGAAGATGCTGACGCGGTTGCAGGCGGATGTGAGGGCTCTAGTGGAGAAGTTGGAGGAGGTGGTGCGGGAGGAGCAGGCGGGGGTGCGGGGGGAGATGCGCAGTGCGGTGGTGGAGTTGCAGGGCGGGCTGGCGGAGGTGAAGGGGGGGTTGGTGAAGGTGGAGGCGCAGCTGAGGGATGTGGAGGGGAAGGCGCAGGCGGGGATCAGTGCGTGTCAGGAGGTACGTGCACTGGGGAGGGGTGTGCGAGTGGGAGGGGCGTGGGTGTTTGGTGTGTGGGGGTGTGTGGGTGTTTGGGTGTTTGGGTGTGTGGGTGTGTGGGTGTTTGGGTGTTTGGGTGTGTGGGTGTGTGGGTGTTTGGGTGTTTGGGTGTGTGGGTGTGTGGGTGCTTAAGTGCGTGGGTGTGGGACTGGGTGTGGATGGGGTGGTGGTGACCCTACGCATGGATGCCCATGTGGGACAAGAGATACACATTGTGATCGATTCCAAGTTCCAATGAGATTGAGATTGCACCTTACTTCCCTCCTCCCGCCTTCCTGCCTCTCTTTCCCCTTGTTCCAGCCTTCTCTCTCTCTCTCTCTGTCTCTCTCTCTCAAGCGGTCCTTTATTGATTTGCATAAGGGGTACAGGCAAGGCATTGGCAAGATTCTACTAGCAAGCATTGTCTAGGCATGCAAGAGAGTCTAGTTTGGCATTTAAGCCTGCAGTCAAGATATGACGCCGGCCAGCATGCAACCAAGCCCCCCTAAATCCCTCTATGGGGCCATCCGCCTGGGGAGAGGCTATCCCTGCTGCCCCGTAGGCCCCCCCTGCCTTTACTCCTCCCAGCTCCAGTCCGGGAGATACCCATCTTCCAGGACCTGCCACAGGTCCCCCAGCTGTGGCTCCCGCGGGTCTCTCTCTCTCTCTCTCTCTCTCTCTCTCTCTCTCTCTCTCTCTCTCTCTCTCTCTCTCTCTCTCTCTCTCTCTCTCTCTCTCTCTCTCTCTCTCTCTCTCTCTCTCTCTACCTGCAACCCTCCACCCTTCACCCTGCACTCAAATCCCTCAACTCCCCCAAACCTGCAAACGCCTCAAACCCCTCACCCAATACCCAAATGCCCAACCCCCAAACCTGCACCCCGCAGGAGGAGAAGCGGCTGGTGGGAGAGTGTGCGGACATGAAGGGCGAGATCCAGCGCGTGGAGGGCGATCTGAACGCGCTCTCCATGAGCCACAGCCAGGTGCTGGCGTACATGCAGGCCAAGCAGGCCAAGGAGGCCAAGGGCCACGGTGAGTGTTTCATGGGGTGGTGGGGAGCGGTGGTGGGGTGGGAGAAGAAAGGTAGGCAAAGGGGTGGTATGGGGTAGTTGTGGGTAGACTCAGCCAGGTGCTGGCGTACAAGCAGGCCATTCAGGCCATGCAGGCCATGCACCTGCATGCCAAGGAAGCCAAGTGCACTGGTGTGTGCCCCAGGGTTGTGAGCGGTGGTGAGGGGCGGTGAAGAGTGGTGAGCAGTGGCACGAGAATGGTAGGCAATGGTGGAATGGGGTGGGTGAGGGCAGAGCGGAGCACAAGCAGGCAGGTGATGGCATGCATGGTGCTACACCGGCCAGGAGTGAACCCCCTTGTTCCCTAACATAACTCCTCCGCCCTCCACCCTTGTCCCCCCCCACCCTTCCCCCACCATTCCACCCAAGTCCTATCTCCCCAATCCCCTCTAACTTGCCACTAACCCCTCGGCGTCCACCCTTCCCCCTCTCTACCCAACCCCCCCCCCGCCACCCCCCAGGCATCATGAAGTGGACGAAGCGCAACATAGCATCGCGCTCCGAGGACCCCTCTCCCCAAATGTCACTCCACGATTCCCCCCATACCCCCCATGTCTCCACCCTGTTTCCCCCACCATTCCACCCACGATCCTCTCCGACCACCTCTAACTCCCCACTATTCCCTCACCCATCCCCCTGTATCTCCCCCTCTCCCCACCCCCCCCCCACACCACCACCCCAGGCATCATGAAGTGGACGAAGCGCAACATAGCATCGCGCTCTGAGGGCCCCTCTCCCCACGAGTCACCGCGCAACCTGCCCAAGCGCTGGTGGCCGCCCTCCCCCGCCACGGACGTGCACAGCAGCATGCGCTCTGATACCAGTGATGACTTTCGTGACCGAGAGTGAGACATGCTCTTAATGAGCGCTTTGATTTTTGTTTTTCCACATTTTTTTTGGGGGGGAGGGCTGGGGGCTCCTTTCTTAATGGGGGTAGCTGGTACACGTGGAAGGAAAGGCTTACATGGTTGTGAGTTAGCGAAGTGCCCACGTGTTTGTTTTCGGTGTTTGTAGTACAATGCACTTAATTTGGTATGTGTAGTAAAGTTACTGGGTGACTAATGGTAGGCTCTGCATGTGGTGCAGTTTTGAGACAGGCTAGGCAATAGTTCTACTAGACATTATGTATGGCATGTTAGGTAGGAACTAACATTTTTTGTTTGTAAGAGTTTTGATACAGGCTTATGTAATTTGTAGGACTAGATGTTTTCATACCGAAGCTTGTCTGCAGCAAGGTAGTGCTAGGCCTTAGAAAGTCCTGCCACCAGGCTTCTGGATAGGTTTGGAAGCACTCTTAGTCGAAAGGGCAGGCTGCCAAAGCTGGTCTTTCAGTAAGGGTGGGGCAGCCATGTCAGTCTTGTGTATCAGTGTTTGCTGCATTGTTACTCGTGCTCGTCAGTGTACTGTGGACCTCGGTTAGTTGTACCATTTTTTTTTAACCAACGCTTACCGTCATCACCCGGATATAAGACAGTGTTGAATAGTAGACAGGGGTTGTCTATTATACGGGTGTCTCTTATAAACGGGGTAGCCTCATTATAAGACACCTATTTGTGTGTAGGGGCAAATGGCAAATGTATAACGAGGAAGTATCTTATAAACGGATTTTTGTCCATTTATAAGACTGATTTTTTTAATGTATGAGATAAGACATACATGTCTTATATCCGGGCGATGACGGTAATGTTTAGGTTGACATGACGTGCAAAGAACAATAAAATATATGATTAGAACTAGAACAACAACAGGACCTACATATGGGATGGTCTGGCCTGGTCTGGTTCCAGCAGAATACTCCTAGCAGGGAGCAGAGTAGCAAAATCAATACAAGAACTCCTGGGCAGGACGGCGCTTCTTGCTAGCATTGAACACGGCTACCACATTCACCCAGTTCAGACCATCACTGGGCAGGAGCGCTGCAGTCATCAGATCGCCCAGTTTGGCGTCACCCAGGCAGGTCCGCTTCCACGTCTTGATACGGTTCTGGCGACTGAAGCCCCGCTCGCACTCCACCGTGCTGAGGGGGAGCACAGCTACGGCCTGCCACAGCTGCACAAGGTTCGGGTACGCTCCCACGTAGTCAGTTGACTGGAGCATGAGCGAGAGCGACTTGTGGAAGCTCATGTTCCCGTGGTTGGTATCCATGGTGTGGAGAAACAACGGTAGCTCCCACTCGCACGCCTTGAAGCACACACCTGCCAGGATGGGAGAGCAGAGCAGTGAGAAGGGCGATCGGGGCGTATAGGAGGTGTTTAACAGCACACCAAGGTACACACACACACACACACAGCAGACAGCACATTGCAGGCACAACCAGGTGGCGTACCAAAGAGGCAGATGTGGTCTAGCATGCCCAACCACTCGCGGCACTTCTTCATCCGCTGCGCGTTGTCGTCGGGATAACACGATGGCCTGAAAAGCTTGGAGCCGGCCAAGTTCTTGAGGTCTTGTAGGCGGAACTCCAGTCGCGCAACGCAGACCCTCGCAAACTCCTGGCACACCACCTTGCAGGAATAGTAGTCCCCGCCAGTCTTATGGCCTGGGATCTTGCGCTCGTGAAGCACGAACTCGTGCTCTACAGCTTCGCCGTTCTGGTCCACGCCTTGGACGGTGACTTCTCGGTGCTGGGGGTTGCCGTGTTTCTTCAGGAACGCGCAGAGCAGGGGCGACTGATCGTTGCCGAAACGATCCTCGCAGTCCACGTAACGCACCTCGATCGTCCGGCAAGCGAGTGACACCTCCCCCGCGACCACAGTGATGTCAACCTGTGAGTGGGCGTGGGATGAATAGTTGCTGCCAGAGGTTGATGTACAATGGGTCAGAATGGCGCACACCAACCGGGAACATGGCAGTGACACAAACGCCTATATGTACAACCAAAACACTTCACATGTCACCTGCTGCTTCTGGAACTTGGCGTTGAGCTCGTTGAGCACGACAAGAATGTCTGCAAGGAAGAAAAGCATGAAGTGGAATTTGAAAGAGGTAACCGTTTCGTATAGCGCGTGCTTGAAATCGTGCAGCAGGACGATTGTCGCCGGCAGAACCTTGGCAAACCACTTGACTGCCTCTCCTCTAGAGAGCCATCGCACGTCGTGGATCCCCTGCAGCTCCAGGTTGGTTTCGCAGATGTACTCCTAAGGTGCCAGTTGCTCGACCTAGAAAGCTGCTCCGCCACGTTGCGCACCGCCTGGTCTATAATGTTGAACTCCGTCACCTTCTCAGCGGCATCCTTCGCGGCCAACGCCTCCCTGCTCAAGGTAGAACGGAGGAAACGAGCGATTGAAGTGAGTGGGCAGTACATGATCAACACACACCTGCCATAAAGCCAGTAACAATGACGGACTTACCGATGTGCGATGCAGTGGCACGACACGAGATAGGGATTCCGCTGCCGGAGTCGTGCCACAACACCATTGCTGGTGCCCGTCATTACTCTGGCGCCGTCGGTGCTGATTCCAACAATCTTGGACAAGTCCATGCCCACGGCGTCAAGGTGGGTCAGTAGCACGTCGACTAGACTTGCCGCGTCACACTTGTCAACTGTCAGCAGCGTGAGGAACTCGCAGACGCTCGCTCCCTCCTTCATGAAGTGGACGTAGACGATCATGTGCTTGCCGCGCGCCTTGTCAGTACTCTCATCAAGCTGAATGGAGATGTAGGGGCTCGCCTCGATCTGCTTCAGTTGCTCTTGCCGCATGTACTTCGCTGCAGCTTCTAGCAGCTCCCCGAAACCGTACCTGTATGATACAAGCACAGAGGTTAGCACTTGATCAATCAAGACAGTTGTAACGGAACCAGTACAACGACACCAAGTACCCCAAAACTTACTCCGAAAAGAAGTTTCCCTTGGAATCCAAGGGAAGGTTCGGGACTCCGAGCTCGGCCATGAACTTGATGGTGCCCACGTAGGAGGTGATTGGCGCCTCCGACTTGCAGATGTACACGGTAGTCTTAAGAGCAGTGATGATGTGAAGAGTGCTGCGATCCAACCCCTCGAACTCGCTCAGCAGCGTTTGACGAAGCTTCCGGCTCTCCTTCGACTTCATCTCGGCGTGTGCGTCCTGGTGTGCGGTGGAGCGCTGGTGCGTCCGGATGCTCCCCTTCTGCATGTCACGCCCTCCATTGCCTCCCTTGTCATAAGCCGTTTTCGCGCCTTCAGCTCCATGTTCCAAGCACGTGCTGCATCTCAAAATGGGGAAGCCAACGTCATCACGAGTTAGAATTAGCCACGGAAACAAAGACTCCCATGAAGTCTTAAACCGCTTATGCGCTTTAGCGAAAGCGACCTCAGGGTAACGGGCCATCTCTTCGTCAGTTGGCAGGCCGTCTTCTTCCTCCTCGTCATCACTTCCCTCGTCCTCCACTCGTCGGATTGGACGTGCTGCCCGCTTCACAGAGGGCTTCGGTTGTCGCCACCACTGCGTAGCACTGCCACCGCTTGACTCTTTGCGCTTCTTGTTCGCAGAGTCGCCACCCGCATCGCCTATCTCCGTTTCAGGAGCTGTTGCTTCTGGAGGTGAGGGTTCCGCCGTGGTAGTGCAAACTTCAGGTGAGCGCAGGTCAGGCCCTGAATCATCTGCGCGGGTTTCGTCCTCGGTTGAAGCAACTACGGGCTCCGGATCTGACAGCTTCTTAGCGGGGGTTCGTAGAAAGTTGAGGCCCGTTCGCGGGGGAGATTTTTGGAGTTCACGGCATGCCTCGTCGTCACCATCGGTGGTTTTGTCAGCAGCCATGGCGAGGGCCAGAGGGGTGGTTGAAGGAGCTGGGCCTACGCTAGCTGTTGGGAGAGCGTGGTGGTGGAGTGGTGTGCAAAGCAAACCCTAGACCAGACGAGATAGCGAGGAGGCAGAATTGAGAAATGAGACGAGGAGGACTGGGTTGGGTGCGTGGGAGAGACTAGTCGGTGGGTGGGGGCGTGCTGGGGAGGAAAGAAGAAGCTTCCATGCTGGACACACCTCCTGCACGAAGCAGGTGTGTGTGGCGCTGCGCGGCATTGCCAGCTAGGAAGATTGCAGGTGAGCCAAGTACAGTTGACGAGCTTGTGGCAGTGGCGACGGGAGCCGTCAAGGCGACGCGCACATCTGCTGACTCAAGCAAAACGCCGCTAATCACGGCCCAAAACTCGTCAGTACCCCCCCCCCCCCCCCCCTCGCCGCGTGAAATCGCATCAGGGTGGTACGCGACACTAGTCTTTGTCATCAGGGCGAGTACACCAGGCCTGTCTTAAAAATCAGTGTTAACAAAATGAACACTTTTTCGGCTAAGGGTGCCTCTAAAAACAAGTTTAAAAAACAAGGGTGATCACCTAAACCCACCCTTATAGTAAGGGCCATAAGGGTGTTTTACCCTGATATCGAGAGGCCTGCCTGCCACTACTCTGTTAAAACCTGCGTCTCATATTTTTTTGTTTCCAACCAAAGGTAATACGCTTGAAACCGGGTAACCAAACAATTACTCGTTTGGTTTGGCGAAGGTGCGATTGGCTGGCAAACCAAACAGTTTGGTAGGTGCAGGTGCCTGACTACCAAGCCGGGTTTGCGAGAAACAGGCAACTGCATGTGCGACGGACTGAGAATGGGACACACAGCCCACAACCGAGCGTATTACAGAGCTGGAAAAATATGAGACTGCAAACCTTGACAGGTTGTAGGTGGAGGAACATACATGCACCGATTTCTCTAGCGACTATGTCTCATTTCAGCATCTTATTTTCCCCAGGTATATTCCAGCGTCAAACGTGACAATACGTTGTACTTCTCGTAGGTCACTCCGCCCCTGCTTTTACTTTTACACACGTACAGTCCGTCCATCGCCAGAGCTGGTCCTCATTATTGCAATAAGAACAC